ATTGCCTGTGAGAGCAACAATCAAAGAGGACCAACAGGTTGAAGTGAAAAAAACTTCAAGATAAATATTAGAGGGATAATAGCTGCAGACAATGGAACTGGAGGGTGGGGGAATAGAAGGCCCTCCTTGCTGAAGATTTTCAGCTGAGAATTGGGCAGCTAGCTACCAAGGATGATAAGAGAATTCCTGCACTGAGCAGCAGGCTGAACTATAACTATTTATCTCAATAAAATCATTTCCAGCTAACATTCTCAGACTCAGTAAAATAAATGTAACAATGGTTACCCAACAGTCCTTTCACTATCTTGTCTTGGAACAACAATAAAAAAGCTGACACCACTAATGGATGGAGTGCGATTACACTTTTAAAAATAAAAGGAGAAGCTGAATTGAATCAGTGAGAAATGGAGGAAGGAGTGAAGGTGGGGCTTCCGTGCCTTTTTGTCTCTCCTGAGAAACTGGATTGACTTTCCATGTCACCTATGGCTTGGGTGCTCATGTTCACAATGCAGCCTTAAAGCTTGTACTGGAATGAGGAGGAGGTGTCTTGGCTCCTAAATCAGAAGCATCTAAGGGTGTCATCCTCTCCCCCTCATAGTCCCATCTGCAACAGGAAGAAGTCGGCTTTGCAAACACATTTGCAGAAGTCAAGTCTTGCTTGCCCCTCCCCCCAATCTTTCTCTTCCTTCCTCCTCCCTTCCTCAGCTTTGTCATGCAGTGCATTTAGTCTTTCAAAAGTTAAAAGGAAGGGGAGGGGAGGGGAGAATGTTAGTACAGTATCTGACAAATGTGTGATAAAGTGGAGAGGAGAAATGGGGAGCCCACCAGGAGGGAGAATGCAGAAATAAAATCAGAGAAGTGGCACCTTATCCAGAAACTCCTCAACTCCAATACCTTGGTTGAAGTGGACAGAAGGAATGCCCTCCCTTAGCATGAGATGAGTCCCCTCCCTTATAATGACTTATTATTTAATTTGGGGCTACCATATTTGAGCTGCAAAACTCTGGACAACCACTCTAAACTGCAATCATATTTATTTATTTATTTGGGCACTATAATCAGTCAACTCCCCACATTTATTTCCTTCCTTCCTTTTAATGACAGACCACTGTAATTAATCAATCAGTTCAGATGTACAATCCATTAAAAACCCCATGTACAATCAAACCAGAATTAAAACACTTATCCCTACAAGCAATCAGCAAACCTAACAATCAAAACACAAACCCAGCTAATAGCACCACAGTTAGATCTCCAGAGATCTACAAAAGAGCTCTGTCTTCATAACTCTATGGAAAGATTCCCAAGACAGATGCTGATTGGACCTCAAGTGGGATGCTGTGCTAGTACAGAAAAACTTCGTTTTCAGGTTTCAAATCTTCTCACCTTCTACATGTGGGGGATATTAAGCATTTCCACTGGAAAGAGCAGAGCAAGCTACTTCCATTTGAAAAAGATGCTCTCAAAGATCCCCAGGAGCCAAGCCAGGGCCACATAGGATTTTGAATTATTCCTGCAAATCCACTGGGAAACATTTCATGTCCAACAACATAATCTGATTTTTGAAGCCCAGTTTATTAGACTTCCCCCAGTCTACTTTCTAAGACAAAATTCTGCTATATAGTTATTTGTAATCAAGACGTTCTTAGCTCCTACCTTGAGAATCTTTGCAATCAGGATATTGACTTAGTGCAATGCTTCTCAGTCTCAGCAACTTTAAGATGTGTGGACTTCAACGCCCACATGCTGGCTGGGGAATTCAACTAAGGTTGAGAAACAATGGCTTAGAGCAGTGGTGGCAAACCTATGGCACGCGTGCCAGAGGCGGCACTCAGAGCCCTCTGTGGGCACGCGCATCATGCCCCGGAAATGGCAACCTTTCCTCTTCAACCAGCCGCCTGCTAACTCACTGAAGTCCCACATGGCCGGATACATCCCAGCACGGTTGGTTTCCCTCCCCCCCCCGTTCCATCCCTCCTGGCCTCGCATGCTCTCCTTTTCCCAGGCACAACCCACTGCATCACCTCCTCAGCTGTCAGCCGGCCGGCCAGTTCAGAGGCAGCTTCTCTGAACTGCTTGTGGCAGGCTGTGGAGCTGATGACAGACACTGTCGGCCCCCATGCGCTCGCTGGCCTCTGTGTGTGGGGGCTGATGGTGTCAGGCAACAGCCACCCCAGTCCTTGCCTCACCTTACCTCGCCTCACCCTGCAGGACGAGCCTCCTGCCCACGACCCCACCTGCCAGAGACCCCCTGGATCTCCCCCAACTCTGCCCGGTCCCCACAGGGATCCCTCCCAACGATCAACATCGAGGTGATCATGCCAACCTTGGCCACACCCACCTAGTCTGCCATGATGACCACAGCCACGCCCACCCAGTGGGCCACGCCCACCTGGCACCCGGCAATAAATAAGTGGGTTTTGGGTTGCAGTTTGGGCACTCGGTCTCTAAAAGGTTCGCCATCACTGGCTTAGAGGAAGAAAACTGCTTACTAACATTCCAGTGGACACAAAATTGGTTAATCACCGCCTATTAGTAATTTGGTGTTAACCCACAAAATGATCTTGATAGCTTTAAAAATTGGATGAAAACAACTATAAAGAAGTTTAAATGTTATAGATTCTAAACACTTCATTTAGGACAGTGGTTCTCAACCTTTTTAATGCCACGACCCCAACCGGTCGTAAGTCGAGGACTAAACCGGTCGTAAGTCGAGGACTAAACCGGTCGTAAGTCGAGGACTACGCAACCGGTCATAAGTCGAGGACTTTACCTGCCCGGGAGCGCCGTGCATGCGTGGTTCCGCCCCCTGCGCCGGCCGAGGCGTAGCTGGCAAGCGGCAGAGACGGAGCAGGCCGACCACCAGCTGGCCCAGCCCAAGGGAGGTAAGGCACCCACCGGAAAAGGGGGAAAAAATGGCAGACAAAAAAAATGGCAGACAAAAAAAAATGGCGGACAGCCTTGCTTGGCGACCCCCATGAAATGGTCGATCGACCCCAAATGGGGTCCCGACCCACAGGTTTAGAACCATTGATTTAGGAAAAGAATCAAACATCCATATATAATCTGAGAAATATCTGACTTGGCAATGGTATGTCTGACAAGAATCTTGCACATAGATCAGATTGACTATATGTAAGTATTGTAAAGTTGCTGCAAAAAAGAATTGAATTGCTTCAACAAAACTGTAACTTCCAAATCCAACAAAGTTATGGGTCTTCTTTGTTCTGCACTGGTCACACCCCACCTTGTGTTTTATTCTGATCACAACACATTAAGAACAATTCAAATTAACTGAAATGGAATCAAAGATGATGATGATTGGGCATGCTTAAAATCGAAAAGAGAAGAAAAGACTGAAGGAAGATAAGATAGTGTTTTTCAGTCTTTTTGAAGGCATTTCACATGAAGATGGCCATCTTTTTTTTCCTACCATTGTTTTACCATTTACCACTCTTTTGTTGTAAATGTCCACAGAGCTTTGGCAATTGAATGAACTGGATTTTTAATAAATACATAATACAGTCTCAAAAGTGGGACATAAAGTAATGGCTTTAAGTTACAGGTAGGCAAATCCCCAAGGAATGCTATGAAGAAAAAAAGTAATGATCTTAGCAATTCAACAAACTAATTACTGTGATGGAGGGGTGGAGATGGGCTTCTCTTCTCTCAATGTCTTTAAGAGCCTCTATAGGGAACCTTTCAGCTGAGTTCCTGTAGTAGGCGACTGGATTCAATGCCCTAAATGGCCCCTTTTAATTCTGATTCTATGAGCATTTCTATTTTTCAATCCCTCTTGACTACAGTCAACCTCAGAACAAGGAGCAAAAGAACAACAAAAATCACATACCCTTCCCAGCTACGTTTACTCCCAGTCATCTAAAAGAAAAATAAAATAAATAGTTTGCATATACACACAAAATTGTTGGCATATATAGCACCTCATCCATATCCTTCATTCATGTTGTTTTGATTTGTTTGTCCATGTGGGAAAAAAAACAGCCAAATGAGGAGAAACCTGAACTCATATTTCCTATTGAAAAATACCAACCCAGAAACTGAGAAGTGGGGTGAGGCAAGCCTTCCTGCAAATGAGGAACATGTTGCCAACATATTCAGCTGAGCCATGGCAATGCTTTGTTCCACTTTCAAATACACTGCAATGGAACCTCAAACAAACTGCACCAAACTGTGTTATCCAACAGATATAAACATGGTTCTGAATTGCGTGCAGAGTTCAGTGTAGAAATGCCTCATGATTGCCACCTCCCGCCCATTCTTACAGATCTTTCCAAGCCAATTGAGAAGGCAGTGGTGACTATTCCAGTCTCTTAAGTTCTCCCAAGTGACAATCCTAGTAAAACCATCATCCTCTCAAAACCTCTATAAATTGATAATAAATAAAGTATAAATATTTTCATGAAGAAATACTGCCCTATCCACTGTTCTGCTGGAGTTGGATAACCAAGTATTCCAGTTTTACAGCATTGCCCATTTCTCAAGTTTAATAGCATTTTGGTACATCCCAAAATTTATTGCTGTTTCTTTTCAGATGCACAAATTGAAGTTGTTTTCATTTTTGTTGCCTCTATTAAAATACCCCAGCTTTTTCCTCTCTTTTTTGCATATATGCACACACATTAAAAAAAAAAACTCTGCTTCCACACAAGCCACCAGCTATTGAAGACCATTGCACCTATTTAACTATACAATATTCTTGAAAGAAGATAATTTTGCATTTTTGCTTATTAAGACTTTTGCTTGGCCTTCAAATCTGTTGTGATCCTAACTGAAGAACAAGAAAGCCATGATATCCACCAATACAGCAGAAATGGACCAAAAGAGTCACTATACCTCCTTCCGTCCCCTGCTGAAGTTTTCACTCTGCAGTGAACTAAAGGCCGTCACAGCATACAAACTTCCTCTAACAAAAAGCCACAAGAGGAAATGCTGCTTTTTGAGATCTACCAAACTGAGCTCTGAAACAATTTTTAGTTTCCAGAGGTTCAATCTGGATGAGAAGGAAGATTTTCATCTGGTGCTTCAGTGAGATGATGCTGTTGGAATGAGCCAAGGACAATGGGATCTCGGATCAAGTAAGACCTTGGGACAGGCTCAAGAAGCAGGTTGGGGGTTGGGGTGGCCTATCATAACAGTCCATTCACTTTAAGTGTACTTCAGTTTTACTTTTGTAATGCAGAAAGTCAGCTAAGATCTCTGATCTCCTGATCTGTTGGGAAATAAAAACATTTTGCTCCTCCTGAGGTCTATCTCAGCCAGATCCTTTGCAATACATAAGTATGAGTATGAAATAGAACAACTCTCCCCTGTTTTGTTTTGTTGGCACCTTTGAAAATAGTGTTATCCCGATCTACTTCTTACAAAGGCTCTTGCTGAGTCAGCCAGATGATCTAGGTCTAGGAAGACTGAAGGGTTTCCCCAGAGCACTAAAGTTGGATTAGGTGGTACATGCCTGGCCTTTAGAGGCTCTTGGCTTGTAAAGTATTTGGCTCATGATGCAATGGGATTCTTTTTTTTTTTTTTTACAAATAAATTTATTTATGTAGTAGGATTCTCGAGTATATGGAACTGATTTTAAGAGCCCAGAAGTGGGGATGGGTAACATCACAGTTTTGAGATTGGCAGTTACATGTGAAACTGCTTTAGGGACTTTTCTCCTCTGCTACCTAATTGCAATGAAAACATGTCCTGGAAACACATTTTTTTCTGCTCTCTCCCCATGACATTAACTTTATTTTGTCCTGTGAGTGAGAGACAGTTAAATACCTTTAGCTATTCCAGTGTTAAAATGTCTTCTGTTGTGGCCTGGATTGTCTTCACAAATATTGGGCTTTTCTATAAGTTTTTTTCTCTTACTTTTTTCTCTTACTTACTGATTCTTTTTGCCTCATGGGACTATATAGGAAATGAGGCAAAATGGGATAGAAAGAAACGTAAGCCTCCCTCATCATTACAGGGCCAAACCCATAATGGGTCATCACTATCTGGGATATTTTTCACATTTCCTTTTTTGGGGGGGGAGTTAAAACAATAACTTTAAAAATGGCAGGAAGTGATGGCCTTAGAGTTGTCTTTTCATTGACTAAGGTTCTTACAAATTTGGCCATCTCAATCTGATGAGGGCATCCCAGGTCATCTGCCACCAGTATAAGGGAGTGACTTTTTAATCAGGATAGCCACAGACTGGGTTAGTTCTGTATTATACCACCATCATGCTATCAACCCCTGAAGAAAAGTGGGTGGGAGGATCATGAAGGTTACAATATTAACAGTTCAATAGGTACCTATTAGCCCTGTGAGGTAGTCCATACAAGAAGCACAACCAGGAATACTAGCTCTGTGTTTATTGTAAGGTTATATTAAACAGAACCTTGCAAGACTGAAAGCATTTCTCTCTCCTCTCTTTTTGGTCTCTAGAAAATTGGGGAGGCCCCTTCTGAAATGCTTCCCATGCCCCCCTCCATCTGTGGGCTGAGATCCATTTTACAACCCATTGTCTACTCTGCAGCTCTCCCTCCTATCTACCAAGGCTATTCTCACAGTAACATACTGCAGTGAGACCTAAAGTAAGATGCCACTGAAAGAGCTTCCCCAACTTGGTGTCCTCCAAAGAGCTTGGTCAATTTTTCTTCTGGCAGGGGAATTATGGGAATTGAAATTATGAAACACTAGTTATGAAAGTATGGCAAAAGATGTTTATTTCCATTCTATACCTTTATCTTGTTCTAAGACAAGATTCTCTCTTAGATTCCCGATATAAAGGTCATACTTCTCTAAGTTCATATGGCTTCTGTGTTTTGGTACTGAATCCACTGATTTTTGTTTGCCAGAGAAAATCCACAGAAAATATTTGATGTGTTCTTTGAAGTTGCTCGTCCATCGCTTGCAGATGATGGTAAGTCTCAATTCTGTTAGATATAATCTTTTGGAGGGAATTTAACAGAAGCCACACTTTAATAAAAAGAAGATGTAGTCACTGAAGGCCCCCAGAGAGCATGGTTGATAATAACAAGACTTAGCAGAGTGAATGTCAAGGTTTTGAAACCTAACTAGGTATTAGGCTTAAAAGGCCAGATGAGGGGCAGATATTCAAGGAGAACATCTGTTTGTCTGTCTGTCTGTCTATCTGTCTGTCTGTCTACTATCTATCTATCTATCTATCTATCTATCTATCTATCTATCTATCTATCTATCTATCTATCTACCTATCAAAAATGACTTGATGCACATAATCAGTTATTATTAATCAATATTAATATTGCCAGATTCTGCGCTGTACGCAGGTACCAGAAGGCTGGATAAATACATTTATTACAGAGGATTAGAAAGCCCTACAAAAGCTTTTCCATCTAACAACACCCAGGGATATTTTATGTCGTTATTTGTATGTATTTATTAAGCATATATTTCTATGTTGCCACAATCAAAATCAATTCTCGGAGCACATATAGAAAATATAAAATGAATCCCATAAAAAATTAAAAATACATTACAAAAATAGAAAGACAACAAAAGATGGCAACAGCAACTCAAATCAGGGAAGGGTCTTGGGGTAGTGGAACGGGGAAAGGTCTTTAGAAACTTGCAGAAAATCAATAAAGAGGGAGCCAACCTTATCTCTACAGACAGACTAGCCTCAATATTGGTGCTACAACAAAAAGCAGCATCTCCATGCCTCAGCCCTCCTTCCTCCCAGATTCTCCCAAAAATGTGGGACTTAGAGTAGTTTTTCCTTGCTAGATCTAATCAGAGATTAGTTTTAATCTCTTTTTCCTACCTTTTCAAGGTAGTGGCAATGTGGCTCCTCATTTCCCAGCTTTGGATGTTTCTGCCAGCTGCCTCTTGCACTTGGATTGGCTTTGGGAGAGTTACAGGGTAGAATTAGTGCCTTAAACCTTGCAGAAGCTTAATCACCCACTTTGCCCCTTAAGCTCCTTCCCTATGGTAGCTCAGTCGAAGTGCCAACTGTAGTGGAGGTGAATATTTTGGCTGCTTTGGGGGGAAAGAATGGGAGAATGGCAGGAATCATTGATATCCCTAGAATAACTGCTGGCAACTGGTGACTTAGTTAAACTGTGTAGTCAGTCTCCCCCAACCCTTACAAAACTGTTCTTTTATTTGATTCCCCCCTCCCCCACCCCACCCCCAATCCCATTGAGATTTGGTGTCCTACTTTACTTGTCATTTTGATATAATGGTTGAAGTGCTGGATTAATAGCCAGAAGATTGTGAGTTCTAGGCCTCCCTTAGTGGTAAAAGCCAGCAGGGTCACTTTGGGCCAGGCACATTCTCATACAAATTAAAAACACATAACTGGGTTATTAATACATTGAATACAAGACAAAGACTTCCTAAGACAGTGGCTGGGGAAAGAGCCAGGCCTTCAAGGGCCATTTAAAGGAAGAGAGGGTTGGGGCAATTTGAATCTCCAAAAGGTCGAAATTGCAAAAGAGAACCACGCTGCCTGGATACCGTTTGAAAAATGGGACCTGGATCTTGCTTTCATTTACACTAAAGTGCCTGGGTTCTGTATATTGACCTGTGTTCTGTTCTTTTGTGCAGATCCTCAAGTGCGTAGACAATTCCCACTGGACTTTGATGACCAGGTCTGTCTCCTTTGTAGAGTTGCTATGTAGCTCTCCACTCTAAACTTCTTTGCCTTCCCAAAACCAGCACAAACTTATATGTCACTTTTTTTCTGCCTCTTCTTCTGTAATTCTGAAATCCTGTCTTATCATGAATATACTGGGTGCTAATGCATGCTGCCTGCTCCTTTTTTTTCCTGCCAGCATGAACAGCTAAACTCATGGAAGCTCTGATCTCCTCAAAGAACCAGGTTTTATAAGCTAAAAACCTGCCCTGATTTGCAATCATGGAATCCTGAATGTGTATCAGTGCACTGTATAAACCTCCTACTTGATAGGATGCAGCTCATAAACTTGGAAAATAGCATTTACTTTAGGAAGCTAGCTTGCATAGAATCGTAATGAACATGCTCAGGATAAAATTGGAATTTGGTTGGAGTTATTATATTGTAGCATATATCAATTGGATAAATCTTGAATTGTTAGCAGAGAATGCTGCCCATGGAGTAGGTACAAATAAAGATAGTAACTTAGTCAACACCTTCTCTATCTTACTAAACAGCATGATGCTAAACCCTCAATTGACCCAAGCCAAGCTGGGCAGCAAATTCAATATCAATAGGTTCATATGATGACAACCAAGGCACATAGCAAATTAGAACATAATAGGAGTGAATTACCGAGAACATTGATAATAAATGAGATGAGAGAAATGAAAAGAGGTATATTGTGTGTCTGTGAAACTAAGAGAAAGGGAAAGGATGCAACCTGAATGAAGGTGGTCAGATCTTAAAGTGGAGCTGGTGAAGATGCAGATTTAATTAGGAATAAGGACTAAACTGTATGTCAAAAAGTATGAACTGGTGCTATCTAGATTGTTGTGATAGCATGTAAAAACAGTTTGGAATGGAGATGAGGAAAGAGGTTGAAACAGAATGAAACCAATCATATTTCAGAGACATACTGTAAGTACTTTGAGTTATAAAAATTGAAAGTATGAAAAAGGATCCTTGTTTGAATAATTAAATACAATTGCCGGTGGATACAGAGGAAAATACACATAGGAAAATTGATGTTACCAAAATTTGTTTTTGAAGTCAATAAAAAGGACTGAATATGTTAACAAGCCTCCAGCAGTGATTAGAATTGAAAAGAAAAGTGATGAAATTATTTAGGATGAAACTGAAGAGATGTTAAAAAGAGTCCTTTAGAAATATGTATGGGAATAGTTAATTTCAACAAGAATTAGAATGACATGTTGAAGAATAGAATTTAAGTAAATGCTATGGATTGTAGGAATTCATTTCTTGGAATTAATCTATAGCATTTACTTCAATACCACTCTTCAATGTGTCACTATAAGTCTAATAATCCATTTCTTAGCATCTTTTTAGAGCCCTGGTGATGCAGTGGTTAGAATGCAGTATTGCAGGTAAACTCTGCCCACTGCCAGGAGTTCGATCCTGACAGGCTCAGGGTTGACTGAGCATTCCATCCTTCTGAGGTCGGTAAAAAGAGGACCTAGATTGTTAGGGGAAATATATTGACTCTGTAAACCGCTTAGTAAAGCACTATGTAGCAGTATATAAGTCGAAATGCTGCTGCTGTTGCTATTTATAGCATTTATTTCAATTCTGGAGTTGAAAGTTAAGATGTTGATAAAATATGAGAAAAGTAAAGCACATATGAAAATAAAAGGAACATGAATGGTTCAGCATTGAGCAAGAAATAAACTGAGGAAACATGATGTCTCCTTGGTTATTTAATGTATTTATGGATAAATATCATATGCCATTATCTTTTTGGCTGACTGTTGCTTACTTCTTTTCTGCACTTTCTCTAATGTTCTTACTCTGAAAGCAAAGAGCATGATGGATATATATGTATGTATGAGCTGAGCTAAAAAAAAAGAATGCTAGTTTAAAGAGGACTAAGCATTTTTTTCTGCTTTTCTATATTTTTGCTGCCCCTGTTGGTTCGATAACCAAGTAGAGGTGGTCCTCAGTTTAACAACCACTCATTCAGCAACCATTCAAACTTACAACAACACTGAACGAGTGGCACAGTACGTACAACTGATCCTCAAAGGTTCCAGCCATTGCAGCATCCCTGCAGTCATGTGATCACAATCTGGGCACTAGGCTTATATTTGTTGTCATTCAGTTATTGTAAGCCACCCAGAATCACATTTTGTGAGATGGACAGTTACATAAATTTGATTAATAAAATAAATTTCTGACTATTGCAGTGTCCCATGGTCACGTGATCGCAATTTGCGACCTTCCCTGCCAGCTTCCCATAAGCAAAGTTGGGGTCATGTAAGCTCCTCACCCAT